AAAGAACTAAGGACATAGATGTTAGGTATCACTTTTTAAGGGACAACTATGAAAAAGGTTTGATCATTGTAGAATTTTGTGCTACTGACAAGCAAATAGCTGATATTTTCACAAAAGCTCTAAGTAGAGATCACTTTGAAAAGAATAGGTTAGAATTAGGGATGATTAAGATCACCTAAAAGGAACCAGTTCTAACTTAATAATTGGTTAGATAATTTGTGAATTTTGTACATAATTAGATTAGATTTTGCTTAGTCTCATAATTTCACTAGTATAATCTTGTCCATGTGCTAAAATGTCTCATTAATCTCTATGATATTATCTTTATTTTCTTAAAAAATAAATTCAGACTTACACAAGAGAACTCTCAGTGAAGAACCTGGTTCATCAACATTACATAGTATGTACTCTCTACTCTGCAAACTTTGAAATAATTGTATTTGGATCAATGATAAAAAAAAAGAGTCCCATTTAATTCCAACCCCCTCAAGTTTATCCATTACAAATGAACCAATTTCACCTAAAGAGAGTCCCACGCGCCATAATTGCCTAGATTTTAGGGAAGACACTAATGTCTTTTCAAACTGACTTTCCCAAATTGATTAGACTTCTGAGCTTCTAAAAGTTGTCGTTACCCACTTAAACTCTCCTTGCTTAAATTTATTTGGCCTTACCTATTTCCTCAATTCTAATTTTCTAGCAGCCATAATTCTCTCTATCTTCTTTGATCTCTTCTACACACAGATCCCATCTGCAAACATCAATGGAAAACCTATCTCAAAACCCATTTTCAACACCCAAGAAAGCTACACCTACACCTTCGATCACACCCTTAACCACACCTAGATCTAAGAAAGGAAGGATTGAGAGGCTGGCTCGCAAGACAATCGTTAGCAGTGAATAAATCAAGAAAATAAATGAAAAATTGAAAGCAAGCCAGGTAGAAGAATCCTAAAAATCTGAAGAATCCTTTAAGTCTGCAACTAAGGGGGAAGAAATTGTTTCATCTGAAATATAGCATGTAACATTTGGTCCTAATATTACATCTAATATAATTTCTGGAGTTGCTGAAAATTTGGAGAACAGATTTGTGTTGGTTGGTACTATTGTGGGGTAGAGATCATTGAGTTTAAAATAATTGGTGGTAAAAATAAAAAGACAAAATTAAAAGATAGTGATGATGATCAAGGTGATGTGAGGGGAAAGGGAAAATAAGGAGTGGTTGAATGTTCACCTACTCCTGTTGGGTTGACTGGGAAGACAGTGGCTATGGTGTTGTGGAGTGAGGAAGTTGTTAAGGAGGAAGAAAGTTGGAGAGAAGAAGGGGAAGTGGGTTTTGTGATGCAAGTGCAACTGAGGGGATGGTTAGGTTGAGGAAGAGGTTCCAAGAACCTATTCCATCTATGCAGGAACCCCTCGAAGACTTACTGAAACGAGTGTATGACAGCTACAATCCGAAAAAGAAGAAATGTTTAAGAGTTAAAATCCCTGGAATTGCTAGGGCAAACAAGAAAAGAAAACCTACCTCTTCTATCCCTGTAGAGACTCCTCCTACAAGAGGAAGAGCTACAAGAAGTCAGAAGAAGCAGAGTGAGGCTGAACTTGAAAGAACCTTAGAAGAGAGCAAAAGAAAAGTTGTTGCAAAGGGAAAGAAGAAAGTGAGTGAGCCTGTTGAGGTAATTGAAAAATGAGGTATGGACCTGGTTCTTCATGATGAAGACAAGGGAGAGGAGGTAGAGGTTATGACTCCAAAGGCAAACAAAATAAAGACTTCAAAAAAGAAGTCTCCTTCAAACACTATTGATGTAGAGCCTTCTACCTTGGCAAAAAGAACCAGGTCTGCCAGAAAATCTAGGAAAGTGCAAGTAGTGGAGGAAGAACAAAGTGAAAAAGAAGAGGAAAGTGATGAAGAATAGGACAAGATGGTGAAGTTTGGCAAGAAAATAGTCTTGAAAGATAGACTCATCAGGGACTTGGAGGAGGAAAGAATGGTGGTGCTGTTAGAGAAGCTAGAACTTCAGGGTTGGAAGGACATAGTCCTTCAGATGGAAAGAAGACTTGCCAGAACTGAGATTGTGAAGCTCATGGCAAATTGTAAAATCAAGAATGGCATGGTTATAGTGTGATGAAAGGGATAACTGTGAGCTTTGACGACAAGGAATTGTGAGAGATTCTACGGGTACATGCTGAAAGGTACAATGATTACAAAGAGCTGAAATGGCCAAGCCTAGAAAATCTACCTACCTCCCTTGCCATTACAAGGAAATTTGCTGACAATGAGTCAGAGTTATAGCCCAAGGCTGTGTACAAAAGTGATATGAAGCCTACCCACAAGTTTCTTTTTGAATTCATCAACAAGGTTGTGTTGCAAAGGCAGGAAAGAAGGCACATTGCCACCTTCACAGACCCGATCCTTATGGAGTGTCGGATAGTGGGAGGCAGATCAATTGGTTGGTGTTTATCATCCAACTCCTTGATAGGGTTCTAACTGGTACCAAAACTCACGCCATACCATATGGATTGATTCTCACTGTTGTGCTTGCTCACTGCAAGGTAGGATGTTAGCACAAGCAAAGATCACTTTGAGGCCAACACCTTGACTGCATGTGACTATGAAGTCCATACTGCTCCCAAAGAATTTGGTTCATCCAAGAAGGTTCCTATGAACAGCAAAGTGAGAGCCTTGGTGCAGGAAAGTGGGGCTAAGGATGCTGAGATTGAGAGGTTGAAGAAGAGACTGGTTGAAGTAGAAACTAAGAGGAATGCTCTCAGGACTGAGCTTGCAAAGGAAAAGGAGAAGAATGAAGGCATTCTTCATGACATGTTGAAACTGCTTCAGGCCAGAAACCAAGAACCTGGTCCTTCCCAGCATTAAATCTTTCCTAGCCTAGTTAGAAAAATAGTGACCCAAATGGAATTTTTTTAAAACTCTTTTTGCTCATGGTACAGTACTGCTATTTTCTTTTATGCTTTGTGGATGAATCTAATCAATGCTAATCAACTGCTTTTTCTCTAGTTGTTTTGTTGATGTTTCTTAGATGGCTAATATCCTTAGATTGGTAAGTGATACTTGACTCCATGATAGCATTTGAAGTTGCCTAAATGGCCATGAGTAAGATCTAATAAAATCTGGTTATCTAAAATAATTATGCAACTTTTCGATACCAAAAAAGAGAAGATAGGTTGTACTTTTTACTTTGGACTATAATGTTAATAACCTAATGAACCTGGTCCTTGATGATTTATGTATTTAAATAGAATGTATTCTAATATTGTGTTGATGTTGAGCTGAGTTGATGTTTTGATGATTGACAAAGAAACACACGCATGAACCAGGTCCATATATAGTATATACAGACACGGGCAGATTCGAGCACAAGGCATGCACGTGAAGGAGATAAGCATAAATAGTTATATTGGATATCTCCTGAACGAAAAGGTTGTATATTTGATAAAGAGCAGGACTCCTTACTCGAAGAGAACTCTATCCTAGATAATGGAGGCGTTAGAATTTGAAGATAACTAGAACTCTTCCACCAAGGAAGAGTATATCATTAGAACTCTAGTTATTTCCTATTCTACTAACTCTATATATTTAAGGATGTTCTCATTTTATAGGGACACACAAATACATAAGTGGAAGCACGAATTGAGAGCAAACTAGCAAGGCATTTTGTAAGCAATTCCTGTGTGATTTAAGTGTGCGAACCTGAAGCGACATGAACCAGATAGAAGAATCAGTTCTAAGTGTCTGTCTTTTATTCTAGTTTCATTGTAGTAGGGCTTTTGAGTTGTACCTTTCAGCTTTCTATAGAAGCATTTGTACTAGGTACTCTAGTGTATTATTCAAATGGGAGTTAACTTGAAATTGTCACAACAGTCTGAGGCTGGTTACCACAAAAGGTTAGAGGTAATCCTTAGGTTTACAAGAGTTTTGTAGTGCTGTTTCGGCTCAGTGATTTAGTGAAAAATCAACCTGGGTAGTAGGTCATAGTTTTTTCACCGTTTGAGCCGGGTGTTGTTCACGTAAAAATACGTGTGTTCTTTACTTTCTGCATTTATTATTCAACTACTGTAGTATAAGGAACACATAGAAGAACCAGATCCTTCTATAACCTTTGCACGCAAAAAATTGAACACCACACAAATCACCCTCCTCTTATGTGGTATTGAAGTACAAAATATCATCATTAATTTTAGGGACAAAATAAAAAATTCAAGGACTTATTACTGTTCGAGGACATGTGAATGAACATATTTAGATATTTTACTACTTTTTCCTGCCTTTTGAAATTCTTGAATTTTTTGCAGACTTATAAATCTCTCATACTTTTTATAACACTCCTATATAATTTTATTAATTTATTTAAAAAAAGTTAATTATCCACGGGACTTATCCCTATGTCTCGTGGCTTATGCCTCACTCTGTACTAGGTGAAATGCCTCACCTTTTACAATGCTAGTATTTGTAAACCAAATTAACTGTGGAAAATGGAATAGACAAATTAGACAAAAAATTTATTTAACTATTTCACAAAATAATAAACATACTGTTTACCAAATCTCTGAAAATTTGAAGGTCCATGCATATTAAAGTTAGATTCTTAGAAGCAGTTCTGCAAGAAAAAAATATAGGCGTACCAAATTTAAGGATATAATGTATAGATATTAAAAAGTAATTAACCATTGCTTGAAGAGTGGCATTTCACAACGTGCATATAGTAAATTACACTAAAGACTAATTTTTACAAAAACAAAATTAGAGGGACCTCAAAGATGTGTCTCTTGACAGCTTTTTGTTTTTCAATATTCCATTGGTGTCTGCATGTAATTTTAAGTTAAAATTATTCCTGTGCTTGTAAGCGAAACAAATGTACCAGTACAACAAATCGCACCTTTTGTTCTTATGAATATTTAAGTATACAACCGATGACCTTTTGTTCGGCTGAACATAAGCAAAATGTTCCGAAGTCTCGCACAACACAAAAATGAAAAAGGAATAACTATTACCAAAATTCCTTCAACAGGGGAATTAAGCTGTACAAAGTCGAGTTCATATTAAAATTAAAGTAATCACTGAGTAATTATGATTCTCAACGGAAATAAGTATGATGGGGTGGATCAAACAATGACTACATGCTATATACAATTCTGAGTCAGAAGCACAACAAGAACTAGTCTAGAGAATAACTAGACCTTTGTCTCTTAGCTTTTCATGATTCAGCTTGGTGACTTTCTTTCTTTTGGCGCGACTTGTGGTGGATCCGGGGAAACAGTAGATCATTGAGTTGTCTTTCAGCACTATACTCTGACGAGGCCTGCAAAAACAACATTCTATTACCTTTTCTCCGACATTGAATAAAGGAGATATGCTGCCACTGAAGAATACAGTTTGTCTTCAAGGTTTCTAACTTTTCTCTTGCTGAAAGAAATGAAAACGAAAAAGGACTACCTATGGTAGTAGAACATATGATTCCCTAAAAGCTAAAACCATGAGAGTTTAGCTGTGGAAGAAATAGTTAAGTAAACAAAAGGTGTGCTCTCTCTAATAGTTTAAAGTTTTAAAATAAGGTGGTGGCATACTTCACATTCGTATCACAGCAATGCATGTCTTACATCCAAGCCTCACCACCACTTGTCAACAACAATTACTACGCTTCAGTAGAAAACAAGTTGAGATCGGCTATTGCCAATTCTCATTGACCATGTTTTTCACCGCCATCCTCTGCCGAAAAGAAAATCGTACGTGTTTGGCCAATAATGAAGTATCAGGCATGCTCGTGAGGGTACTCCGTTAAGACATAATTGAGAAAGAAAAGTGTGCCTCTCTAACAACCTAAACTTTTATATGAGATGGTCACACACTTTAAAGGTGGCGTCTAACTTCTGTACCCACTAGGCAGAGCCTGTTTGTAGGTTTGTGTCAAAAACTTTGATCCACCAAGAAGGAATTCATTTACAAAATAGTTGACATGCAACAAGACTAGAAATTAATGATGGGGTCCTGAAAATCTTAAGAAGCAAAAGTACCAAAATGTCTTACCCGCTTCCTAAATGAAAACCGCAGTGTTTGGACTTGTGTCCCAGAGCAAACTCTCAAGTCAAAACCAAGGCTGTCCACACCAATCAGAGACACCTCCTGACATAAATCACAACAAGAAACTCGAGATGAATTCCCCAGTGAGCGTCATAATAAATGGAGGAACTAGGTTCTATGTATAAGATACCTTTCCATTATAATCTCAGCCAAGTGCTGAGCACTCGTATTTCCAAAATGTGAATACATAACAGAACTGAAATTCGTCTGTTTCAATTCAAAATGCTGGCTACAATATTAGGCTTTGTTATCAGGAGAAAAGGATTATTGAGGACATTTTATCTTCCAGTAACATGTTCAGGCTTCTGTTTTTATCTTATCTTATCAAAAATTTCTCCAGTGCAGGAGAAAGGGAGGCTGAGTTGCATGGTTTGTTATATTATTTTACCTAGGACGAAACAGGTAAACCAATCCCTGGGTTAGTGGGTTGTATAGTAATGAATTCTGAGGACTGAAAAACAAGATTGATCTCAGGGCAATCCTATAATCTCTTATTAAAGGCTGAAGGGCCATACCTCCACCTGAATTCCCTTGCATCTCCAACAGAGAGATCTAAGAGCCTGTGTAGTCTTCTCTCCAGCAGCTTTAAGCCGAGATATTATTTTGGCAGTTGAATGTGCTATTGCATCAGGCCTAGCTCTCCTAAAATCATCTAACTCAACAAAGATCTGTGAGCACCAAAATAGACAACATAAACTTGGTAATCCCTGAATAATGATAAATATGTTAACAGGAATACCACAAGCACAAAATGGTCAAAGAATGCAGATATAGAACTGATCAAATTTCTTTTAAAACAATTGATTCAGAATTAAAAATAATAAAATAATATCCCATGGATCTTGTCTACAATGAGTTTCGAGATGACCAAAATAATTACTGTGGATACACAACTTGCACTATATAAACTGAGATACATGCAGAGTGAAGAATGGAATGTTAACAACATTCAAGGTTGAACCTCATAAAACCTACGCACATTACCTGATTCCCATTGGAAGAAATTAACTGAATTTTGATCATCTCTAGCTTGTAAAATGAAGTTCCATTTCCTAGGTTCTCATCCTTCTCCAATTCTGCCCAGCTTGGACTATCTTGTGATGATCCACTCTCATGTTTGTGGCCATTTATATGAATACCGCCCTTTTCTTTATGGTCTTCATCTTTTTCCATCTGGTTTAAGTCAGCGTCACTCAGCCTATGTTCGGATATCTGCTTTTGAATAGTAGTGTGCTCTTCAAGGAAGGACGGCCTTAGAACGCCTTGTATAGCAAGACCTGCAGGAGGCTGGTCCATAAAATCTATAGGATCATCTGTCACAACCTGAGCACCAAAGTAGACCACAAAAGAAATGGGTTAAATTACCAATTAAATAGCAGATTCAAAAGATATAATGCCAGCACAGCATGTGCGTATGCCGAAAATTGAATGTAATAATGTGCTAATTTCACTTAATAGGAAGCCGACTTGATGCCTCTCTTAGATTTAACTTTGACTTTTCATGCCATGAAACCAATGACGTGGAAAATCACCTCGGCAATCTTTTTGGCAAAATACATTGGATGAGAAGAGCGCATGGTTTCTAATTTAGCCCAGTCTCCCAATGACCCGTCAGAATCCCCATCCTGATCTTCATCATCAAGAATGGCAACCCAATCCTGTGAACAAGCATTTTAACTGATGTTTATAAATGGAAAGTGCAGTTACTCACATTCTAAAAAGTAAAACAGATCAAATAAGCAAATACCTTGTCATAGTCACTTTCATCTTCATCACCATCATCGTCGTCATCTTCATCGAGGTCATCTTCGTCATCAATATCACTGTCCTCGTCGTCAAATTCATCTATGCCATAATCAACTTCAGATTGACCAAATGACTCTAGCTCACTTAGCATTTCAGCGGTATCTAGGCCAATAATTACTTGCTGCATCGTATTTGAAATTTAAGCAAGCATTCAGAACTCATTTCTTATCAACTTTTTGTTAGAAACTACCTAGGAAGATAACAAAAAAGATGACTTGTGCGAGCTTCATCGTAGTTATTAATATTATGCATGCACTAGCTGCCTCTCACTATTCAAAAGCCTTTCCTTTTTCCTTTTCTGGAAGGTTAAAAGAGCTCCAAGATAGTTGGAACAGACAAGAATGTGTAAAGGCAAAGTCCAGTTTATCTCCAAAGTTCACAGGCGAGTAATTATGTGATAGGACAGTCTTTCCACGGAAAATAATTATAGAAACAGCTATCAAGAAGTTGCTTTACTCAAACAAACTTATCCAGTGTGATACATAAACGAGCATAACACAACTTGCATCATTATACATTGATGACATGATTTTGCAAAAAGGTAAGTATCACACTGGACGATAGTTGACTAATCAAAAAATATATATCAAGCATAGCAAAATCATTTGGAAATACTTGGAGACGGCAGTATGCTCTGTCTGAGTCAACAATCACCAAAAACGTGAAAAGGAAAATGTAGCAATTAACCATTATGTAAACAGGAATAACAGAACTTTTTAGCTTCAATGTCCATACCACGACATTTTCTTCAGCTGTCAGAGTTTGCAGGATGTCTTCATCATTCTTTACTTGAAAGTAGATGTCTGACAGAAAGGCAAAGCACATAAACCTTCATAAAGGAGTGAGAATATGCCACTAACCATGACCAAAAAGTACTGGCAGCAGGAAAACATGCTAAATGACAAGAATTGAACAGCTTACTTCCAAGTTCATCAGTTATGTAAGGCAAGTCTGGCCAGAAAATGTTCTCATGCACTTCATTGTTGACCACACCTGAAAACATGAGTGTTGCTTTGCTGTTTACCTATAGATCAAGTGGTAAAAGCAATATTAGCTTTACCACAACTAGCTACAATGATAAGTAGCTTTCCGAGTTCAGCAATTATGCAACACACATCTGGCCAGAAAAAGCTCTCATGCACTCCATTATTTACTAAACCTGAAATCATGATTGTTGTTTTGCTGTGTAACTAAAGATCAAGTGGTAAAAGAAATATCATATTTGTTCGTGACAGGAATGAAGGGAAAGCAATAAGATATTGAGAGCCTGGGAGTAATGTCCTGACACCGAGCCACCGAGAGTTTGTAAAAGCATTATAGCATTATGCAAAATCAGCACTAAATTCAACTACCGTTAAAGTTGTTTAAATTTAAAAGTTGATATCCAAGGGCATTGAGAAGCTACAGTTCAGCGAGGAAACAAAGTCTTAGGTGATTCCAAACTTTCTGTTATTTCTTTCTTTATAACTTTCCAACAGCTAATCACTAAGAATCTCTTTACATTAGCATTAAAAGCACTAAATTCTTCCAATATACCATTCAGAACTAAGATATTCTTTTTATAAGTAACTCGAAGCAAAGATGAACCCATCAATTTTTCCGCAAAATAAAAGGAAAGAGTACGATCATTGCCTCAATGATTGTTTTAGAAGTTTCAGCAGGCGTAAGTTGAGCTTCCTCATTCTCCCCAGTTTCTGAATCCGAAATGTCTTCAAACGGATGATACCTGGACGGCTTCGCATTCTGTTTCACCGGTCCAGTACCCGCACTTGACTGATCTTTCGTACTTGCTTTAATTCCACATTTTCCCTTACCCGTTCTTATTCTTCCACCGCCATGCTCCGTCGTTAATCTCCTAAATTTATTCCTACAAGCAAACTTCTCATTTTAGCTGTGCTTTTACTGTTATTAGAAGATAATTAGCTGTAATTAGCAGTAATAGGAAAAGTAGTAGTAGTACCGAGGGATTGAGAAGCTGGCGGAGTGAGAAAACCGGGGGTGGGTGGAGTTGAAGTTACTGGCCGAGAAACGGACGGCGGCGACGGCGGGTTCTACCATCAGCATTTTCGGAATTTCAACAACTGAGGAATTGAATTAGGGAGAGAGATCAATGAAATAGAAGCAAAAAGTGCTGGGTTTCAATGATCTTTTTCGTCCATCTCTCTTTGTGATTGGGTCGTGTGGTTCTCTTATTATCCTTTTGAAAGCTCTTCGCTTTGTGGCTTCTTCTTTGCTCATTACAATATGCGATAAAAGATTCCATGCTTGCCTCCATACCGTCCCCACAACTGAGTCCACCCTCCAAACTAACCTTATGAAATTACAATAGTACCCTTGGAGGTCATTTGATATTTTGGTTTAGGAGCTATAAACCCTCCAGCTGAGAAAATATCTCAATTTTCTATGCCAGAAAAGGGAAGCTACTATAACGCAGTCTCTCACTTTCGACTCTCAATTAGTTGTGAACATTGTCTGGTAAATCTTTCTCTCTTTCTAATTCTGTTCTCACCCATGTCGCAGTTATTGACTATAAAAGGACTATTCTTTTTGGTGTGGAGTGTATGGATAAGGTTTAAATTCGTTTTTACTCAATTGAGTAATATTTTATCTTGTATGGTGCAGGAGTTTCAACTAATGCTTTATCTTCCCCGCTAAAAATGCTTTGTTTGAGGTATTCTCCTGTAGTTTTTACTACTAGACGACTGGAATCAATTGAACTCCCCAAGAAGAACTATAATCGTAACATTGTGGTAAGATTCTGCAGCTTTTGTAAAGACTAGCAAATTCGTCGTTCCCCACTGCTATGTTATTAGCTCTATGCTAGGCTACTAAACTGCAGCGTTAATTTCATTTTGTTTGAAAGTAATTAGAGAAAGGGTATCTGTTCATGTAGTTTTTTAAAGATTTTTGTTATACCTTTGATTTAATTAGTACCTTCATTGTTCAGAGAAGCTATTAAGTAAAAGAAAAAAAGTTGTGCAAGATCAGAGGAACTTTATGGCAACTGTAAAGAACTTCAATTTCCCTTTAGGAGGAATCGTTGGTCGCCTACATGGATGTCTAATTGAAATATGCTCAATTTGGATTTCGGTGATTCAGTATTGTTTGCCTTGTCTTCCTTTTTCTCCTTTAGCTGCATACAGCTCTTTTCTATTTTCCTCTCTTCTTGCAGTTGAAGTCACCTTTAGTCATAATTTTGATGTTCCTCAGGTGTGCGAAGCTAAAGGTCCACGACCAAGGTATCCTCGAGTGTGGAAAACTAAAAGGAAAATTGGGACCATTTCCAAGTCACTGAAGCTTGTTGAGTGTGTAAGCTTTTCTCTTTTCTAGTTTTTCTCTATGATTTGAAAGCAAAGGTCTCAACATTCTCTGCATTAGCATGAGATTTGCCTCAGTCTCTTCCGTGAAGCATGCCAGGCACCTCTCCAGAATAATATAATATTTAGTCTGGTTCAAGAGAATTTAGTTTGGTCTTGGATTTCTTTTTCGTAGATAAAGGGACTATCGAATGTCAAGGAAGAAGTCTATGGAGCTCTTGATTCTTTCATTGCATGGGAACTGGAGTTCCCTTTGATTACAGTGAAGAAAGCATTAAAGATCCTTGAGAATGAAAAGGAGTGGAAAAGGATAATTCAGGTATCTTCTTTTATTTGGTGCTCTAGTTTTTCATTCTTTGACAGGCTTGTCAGGTCCTAGAATAAATTGTATCAATCAAGCATATGTAATTATAGGTGACAAAGTGGATGCTAAGTAAGGGTCAAGGGAGAACAATGGGGAGCTATTTCACGTTGCTAAATGCCTTGGGCGAGGATGGAAGACTTGAGGAAGCTGAAGAGCTTTGGCTGAAACTATTCTCTGACAATCTGGAAAGCATGCCTCGTATTTTCTTTCAGAAAATGATCTCCATATACTATCACAGGGAGATGAATGACAAGATGTTTGAGGTATCCCGCATCTGTTTACTTTTTCCTTTTTCTCTTCCTTCAATTTATTGGTTTCTCTCCCAATCATATCTTGGTACTTCCTCTTTTATTTCCATGAAATAGTGCCTTTTCTTTCACTACCCATGATCCCTTAGGCCTCTGCAATTAAGCACAAAAGCACAGAAATGAAAAGTGGAATTACCCCAAAAGAGAGTGACACATATAATAAATGCGGATTAGTGGATGATCTCTGTAGAACCTCTACAGGTAAAAAAGTTTAAGCTTTTGACAGAATTCATATAGCCGACAACTTGTTCGGGACTGAGGCGTAGTTGTTGTTTTGACAAAGTCAAAGAAGACCTAATAATGCACCTATTTACACTGGTGGAAATGTTTTATAAGTGGATATAATATATATAAAGAGGGGGTTATCTGAGTTCCAGATGCTACCTATGTGAAAGGGAGGTTGAGGATAATTCCCACAGGTTCTTACATTGTGTTGGTACCTCTCAATTGTGGAAAATGTTCCTAAGTATGGTTGGAATGAGTTGGGTTATGCCAAAGCTAACTATTGATCTCCTAAGATGCTGGTGTAGTGTAGCTGGGGGTGTAGATCAGAAGAAATGGGGGAGAAAGATTCCAGCGTGTATTTGGTGGACAATGTGGAGTGAAAGAAATTCCAGATGTTTGAGGATCAAAGATATTCCATCCAGATAATAAAATTGAATTGTATATTAATGTTTTTATTTTGGTGTAAGAGCAACCTTGTAAATGATTGTGAATCTAAACTCGAAATCATAGAGTCCCTGTAAGTTTTTATCTGGGGGATCTTTTATTTTGCCAATCTGGGAATGTAATTTGTTTTCTCAGTACAACCTTTGTACTGATAGATAGATGAAAATGCTATACCATTCTCAAAAAGAAGATAATATATATAGTCTGAAAATAATATTGAAATTGTAAGTTAAAGTATTACATTGTCTCAATTGGTAGATTAAAGCTAGATTGGCTAAGTTAACCTGTGAAAATCTCCCAGCTACACCATGGGTAATGCCTTTCTCCTAATTCTGACCAAAAAAAGCAGCTTTTCGAGTTGCTAAACTACTAATCCATTTATGAGTTTTCGTTTTTTACTTGACGTGAGCATTAAGAAGCAGAAACATTTTTATAGCTTAGTGATTCTAAATTGAGGAGTACCTTTTGTGCCATTAGTTAGGCTTTCAGGAATGAAAAGGTAAACTTTTTTTAACGCATTTTGAGATTACTCAAAAAGGAAAGGTTGACTGTCATGATTGGACTTGTATGGTACATCTAACTTGTCGGGGGTGCCAAATTTGTATGAACCTTATATGGTACATGTAACTTGTCCCTCAAGCCAGATTACTGGTGAAAGTTGTTGCCTTTGGTTAGGCTTTCAGGAATTAAAAGTTAATAAGTTGTCTTGGGAAGAGTAAACTGAGACGAGTGAACCTTCTGTTAACATACAAAATGTAGCAATTCTTTTTAACAAATGAACACGATTTTGAATTTACTCAAAAAGAAAGCTTGAAGGTTAATTTTGGTGGGTGTACTAAGTTTGTAGACTTATTGTGGTACTGTATGAACGTTATATGCTACATGTGACTTGTTCCTCACCTTTGTCACCAAGCCGGGGAACCTCTCTCCAGATTTACGGGCTTTAGTTTAGCTACTTTTGCTTCTACTCTTTCGGTATGAGAAGGTATAGATTGCATTGGAAGCGTTTGGGAGTTCCTTATTCTACTTTCAGTTGACACTATATTTTGGTAGGAAGCTTTTTTTCTACATGAACCATCAATGTATTGTATTCTTTAATTGATTTAATGTATCTGTCTTGTTCTATTGCTGAATATCTGGATTTGTGTTCATCTGCAGATATTCGCAGACATGGAAGAACTTGGTATTAGGCCCACTGTGGCGGTTGTCACAATGGTGGGAAATGTTTTTCAGAAACTTGGAATGTTGGACAAGTACCAGAAATTGAACAAGAAATACCCACCCCCAAAGTGGGAATATCGATACATAAAAGGAAAGAGGGTCAAAATAAGAACAAAAGATCTTTATAACTCTAATAATAGTGATGTTGTAAGTAAGTCTGAAGAAGTAGGTGAGTCTGAGTTAGGCGACCAATCAAAAGATCAAGCAGATGAAGTTGATGAAGATTATGTAGAGCAACTCAAAGAAGTTGACGAGTATGAACCTGGTGAAATATCAACTGTACCTAGCGAATCAAGGGAATCTTCTATGTTAACTTAATGCTTTGTATCCTATCAAAAATCTCATTGTTTGACATTTATTACTGCATTGCCTCTCGTGTGAGATGAACTTAACTGCTCATCATCAAATGAACCAGTAACGACACTAAAACCATAGATGTAATTTAAGTTAATCTGACTGCAGAAGTGGGGTTGTAGTCGTTGAGGGGTAATTCTCTTTGAATCGATAACCTCGTGCATATGCCAAGAGGAAGAGCGTACGAGTTTGTATATGGGCGAAGGTTGAGAACAATTATAGGAACCAAATTTTCCGAAGGGAAGGGATTGGGGGTAAAAGATCATTTGGTGCACATGTAGAGGGAGAAATCAGAAATTTGAATGAAAGTAGAAATTGGTCCAAACCATGTAGAATTTTATGTGAAACTGTTAAAAATAAATTTTCTCAAATTGTGGCTCATTCAGTACCAAGAAACCAATTCTAGAAAATGAGTAACACTATTCCAATTTCCAGAGTACATCAAGAGACAGACCCTTTCACCCCTCATGCGCCTTGACCTTATTTTCTACCTTTTCTTCGAGCGGAGCCATTAGCAAGGCCCTTTCTATTATTATTCAGTTTCTCAACCTCAGGCTCAGGCTCATCTTCATCTTCATCCTCATCCTCATCCTCACTATACTCGCTTTGATCGCCCTCTTCGTCTTCTTCAATGTCATCTTCATCCTCTTCTTCATCTTCAAGGTTATTCTTCCCCTGCACTCCTTCAGCCACATGACCGCCTCGACTTCCAGCTCTGCTCCTTTTCAATATTTTTAGTTTTAAGCTTGTCTTCGTGTCGCACCCAATCCACGTGTCACACATCAAATGACAGTTTAAATTGTAATTTCCGGCCTGTGGAGCTTGGATCTTGCCCAACACCAGTCGACACCCGCTCTTAACTTTTGCGACAGCATCTTTAACAGCGGCAGTGATCTCCTCCATACTTGCCCCTGATGCTTCCATTTTCGCTTCAGTTATTGCTGAAGCAGTTGTTATGGCTGCTGCTTCATCGATAAAGTTGATACTTTCGGAAAACCAGACATC